AAAAAAAAAAAAATAAATTTTTAGCCAGGTGGTGACGGTGCATGCCTTTAATCCCAGCACTTGGGAGGCAGAGATAGGCAGATCTCTGAGTTCAAGGCCAGCCCCACCTACAGAGTAAGTTCCAGGACAGCCAGAGCCACACAAGGAAACCTTGTCTCGAAAATCCAAAAATAAATAAGTGAAATTTTAAAAATGAGAAGAATATTCCAGACCCAAATAACTAAACTTTGAAAAGCAACTATGCCAGAAAGAGGAAGAATAATACCTTCGGCAACTGTCGGTTTATGTGATGGTATTGGTGTCAGCCATATATCGGAAGGGTCTGGTGTAAAGGGAAGATTCCAGCTTAATGTCCAAGGCTTTGTGCCTCCTTCCCAGAACAAAAGAGCGATACAATTCTAGTTGTGTTCTAGATAGATCTAGATAGCTCTCCATAGAGTGTACAGAATATAGCCTAGAGCGTTTTCTGCACTCAAAGAGCTCCAAGTCTCCTTTGAAAAGGAGCTGATGAGAAGTGGTGTCTACCAAGAACTCGGTCTAGCAGGCACCACTCTGAGCGCTTTACAAACTCACTCTGTAGAGCAGAGAGGGGAACTGACCTAAATGGGGTCCTTTGGCTTGCCTGTGATATCCACCATCCTCGTGGGCAGATGCAGGAATTGACTCTGTTATGACCCTTCCTCTTAGATTCCTGGTGAAGGGCCCGGAAGGAGTCCTAAGCAAGGACATCTGTCTTTGGACAGAGCAAGGACAGCTGTCTTTGGACCAAGCAAGGACAGCTGTTTTTGGACGGTGTAGATAGGCGAGGCTTCTTATCCCAGAGGAAGTCGCCTCCAGTCTGAGGTTGGAGGCAGAAACCTGGGTCCTTATGGGGAAAACCCTCCAGAGGGAGGAAGTAGATTATTTCACAGCATGTGGGGGTGGGACTGAGGTCCCTCAGCATTCGGGGAGTGTCATAGAGAATGAGGTGAGTGGTGGGGAGATGAGGGATCGGAGAAGCGAGCTGGGATTATTAGGCTATGTATTTGTTCCAAATAATTGGACTGTACCCTAAAGGCTATTGAAGGATTCAGTGTAAAGAGTATTGGGGCTGCACTGTGGATGAGATCACATACTCCTCAGTGTCCATGGGGATGAGCTCGGGGACCCCAGCAGAACACTGAGTCCCAAAGGTGTTTATAACCTGTATGTAAAATGGCACTGACATAGAACCTAGACACATCTCCCATATACTTTGATTGCTCCCTTATCAGGCAAATATTCAACAAATACTCAAGTGTCACTTCAGAAAAGACTATGCTAACTTCCCCACTTAAAATGGTCACACCGGGGCAGCAAGATGGCTCCATGGATAAAGATGCTTTCAGCACAGGACTGTTGACCTGGGTTAGATACCTGGAACTGACCCTGAGAAAGGTGTTATCTCACCTCCATACACAGGCCTCCCCCTCTAAGAAGAATAAATGAAATTAAAGAAATGATCTTAGCCCAGCTTGGTGTCACACATCTTCAATCCCAGCACTCAGGAGGGGTTGGCAGGTAGACCTCTCAGTTTGAGGTCAGCCAGGTCTGTAGAAAGGGTTCCAGGATAGCCAGGGCCACACAGAGAAACCCTGTCTCAAAAAATAAAATAAAATAAAATAAAATAAAATAAAATAAAATAAAATAAAATAAAATAAAATAAATAAAAAATGGTCATGCTGTTAGCCTTTCCTACTTCTCCTGAGTTTTGCTTTCTCTGTTACCCACAGCCAACTGCAGTCTGAAACTACTAATCAGAGAGCTCCATGAGAAATAGTGCTCATGGGTCCAGAAGAGGGCGTCTGACTCCTTGGAGCTGGAGTCACAGACAGTTGTCAGCTGCCAAGTAGACGCTGGGAATTGAGCCTGGTCCTCTGCAGAAGCGGCTAGCTCTCCAGTCTGTTGATCCATTGTGCAGCTCCCAGTTGATCAGTTTTAATTTCATGCTTTGTTAAGGTGCAGCTGTTCAAGAAATCCTTATTTATCTAACAAAAGCCCCCTCCCAAGTAGCGTACTGGTATTAACAACTTGGACAGTCCAAAGAGAAGTTATGAAGGGCTTCTTTTAAGTGAAAAGGTGAAATTTCTTAACTTAGAAAAACAATACAAACAAAACAAAATAAAATAAGCGCTTGCCAGGATTGCTATGGATTGCTATATGATATGATGTGGGTGAAACTGCAAAAACGAAGAAATTCGTGCTTACTTTACTTCAAACTGTAAAAGCTATGGTCATGGTGCATAAGTTGTTTCTTTTCTTAAAAAACAAACAAACAGCCGGGCGGTGGTGGGACACGCCTTTAATCCCAGCATTGGGGAGGCAGAGGCAGGCGGATCTCTGTGAGTTCGAGGCCAGCCTGGGCTACCAAGTGAGTTCCAGGAAAAGCGCAAAGCTACACAAGAGAAACCCTGTCTCCAAAAACCAAAAAAACAAAAACAAAAACAAAACAAACCAACAAACCAAATAGCGTCCCCCCTCGACCCCCCACAAAAAAATCAAAACCAAACCAAACCATCAGGGGTGGCCGGAGAGAATCAGCAGTTAAGCTAGTTAAACATTGTTTTTATTTGTTTGTTTGTTTTGTTGTTTCGAGACAAGGTTCCTGTGTGTCGCTCTGGCTGTCCTGGAACTCACTTTTGTAGACCGGGCTGGCCTCGAACTCACAGAGATCCACCTGGCTCTGCCTCCCTAGTGCTGGGATTAAAGGAGTGCGCCTCCACCGCCCGTCAAAAGGAATAAATCTTAAAACACTTAATTATGTGTATATGTACGGGCATGTGCACGCTGAGTGTGGTGTCCGTGGAGCCCAAGAGAGGACGGTGGAACCTCCGGAGCTGGAGGTTATATATATAGGGACTGGGAACTGAACTCGGGGCCTCTGCAAGGGCAGCGGCAATCGCTCTTGACCGCTGAGCCGCCTCCCCATCCCCGCTCGTTTCTTCCCACATGTGCACCGGAGGCGCAGAGGGTGCTCGCATCGGCGTCCCAGGTTTAGAGGAGGAATCGTTCCCACCACCTGGCTTCAGAGGAAGCCCTCGGGCAGGGCCGGGCAAAAGGGAAGCCGGAAGTGGATGCGGCGCGGCGCTGACGTCACACCGGCGCCGGCGGCAAGGGGCGGGGGGGGCGAAGGCGGGGCGGCCGCGCAGCGTCCGGGATCCAGGCCTGGCGGGGGTTGTTCGCGCGGCCGGCCGGCTCTGCCTGCACCGGTGTCGGCTCCCCAGCGGGGCCTCGCTCGGGTCCCCCCATGTGACGGCGCCCCGCGGCGCCTGAGCGAGCAGCGGGTCCGTGCGGAGCCGGAGGCGGGAGGAACATGACATCGCGGAGGTGAGCCGCCCGCAGGGGCCGGGCCGCGGCCTGGGTCCCCGCCGCCTCGGTGCTGCCCGGTCGTAGCGGGGTACACCGGGTCTCCCCGTCGGCCCGGCGTCCCCGCTGCCCCACCGCCCCGCCTGCGGGTCCCCATTCATTTCCTGCCGCCCCAAGTTCCTGCTCCCGCGGCCCGGGATGCCCGTGGGGACACCCCGCGGCCCGGCCGGCCGCTGCATTCCTGACCCATTGCCTCATGAGCGTCGCCTCCTGGGGATTCCGAAATAACCCCGCGCGCTCGGGGAGGCGCCTGGGCCATCGCGGGGCCTTCACGCGGGACCCTTTTAGGTGCCCCCTTTCCGCGTCTTCGCCCTCGCCCCTAAGTGCCACAAGTGGGGAAACTGACGCTGTCGCCCGCCGATGAGACTTATTCCTTACCCCTGTGATCGTCGCTTTGAAAGGTGGGAGGGAGGGGAACCTTATCGTGTCGTGGGATCCTTCCCTCCGGTAACTAGTGTGTTCCCGTTTTACGGGTGTGGAAACTGAGGCGCCTAAGTAACGTGCTTGTGACAGACAGGACAGGATTTGAAGCTAAGGTCAGGAGGAGGATTAGTGAGCGAACGGGCTCCTTTGAAACTTCAAGGTAACAAGACTCGATTGCTGACATTGACTTTGTTCTTACTAGAGGCCAGCCTAACGCGTTTTAGTACCGCAGCCCTGTGTGGTCAGCGGTGGTCTTCCGTTCTAAAGAAGAGCAGATTGAGTTTTCAGAATCAAGCAAATTGTCGTATGTTGCCCTCATAAGTGGTGGAGACAGAATCTGGACGTTAATGACTAGGTTGCTGTTATTGTTCTCTAACTGTTGCTAATTATTTGTAAGCTGTAATTTTGTTGCTAAACACTAGTGTGACCTCTGGTTCTTAAATAAGGATGGTGCTGTTTTGTACCTCTCCTAGACCCCTCACGCACACACATCCCATTGTCTATTCTTTTCCATGACGCTTCAGTTTTATGGCCACCAACTGAGACATTTGAAAAACGATTTCAAGCTGTTGGCATGTACTTGAACAAGAGACTTTTCAAAATATTAGCTCCTCAGAAATACACCTGAATGGTATTCCTTCATGGTTCAGAAACCAAAAAAAGGGAGGGGGGGGGGAAAAAAAAAGAAAATTGAAAACTCGTAGAAAATGAGTGACTTGGACAGGTCTCTTGGCATGTGCTTGCAGATCCGGGGAATATCTTAACTCCGTTTCAACAGAACAGTGTATAGAACTCAAATGTTCTAATTCTTCAGGGAGCTTTTTAAATAAAACAGTTGTCTATTCTTTAATCTGTCAGACAGTCATTGAGTCTTTTGTCCCTTTTGTCTGCTCTTCCAGACGAGCAAGAATCTGCCGCTTTAGGAGGAGACAGAGAGGCAGCCCTGGGGGTGGGGAGAGGGGCGAGGAGCAATAGACCCCACATTGTCCAGCTTCTTAGTGGAGCAGTAGGGCAGTGTGGGCACAGCCCAAGCAGCAAGTGGTCAGAATGACAGTTTGGAATAGAGTCATCCCTTCTGCTCAGCCCTGGTACTTCATGCACCTGTCACAGAAAAGTGTTTCCCGAAGATTCCTTACGGAACCCAACACACATAAAGTGGCCCTTGTGTATTTTTTTTTTTTTTTTTTAAGTTGTGAGGTTGATGGATTGAGACAGGGTCCCTCATTATGTTGCCCAGGTTAGCCTCCAGCTTACATTCCCTTAACCTCAACTTCCTAAGTCCTGGCGTTACAGGCTAGATCTCTGTAGGAACTTGTTTTTTTGTTTTTTAGTTTTTAAGTCAGCTTTATTGAGATGAGCTGCATCTAATTCAGCAGACAATTTGATAAGCCTTGACTTCTGTGCATCCTTGGGAAACCATTACGGCAGTTAAGATAATGAACATATATATCCACTACTCCTGCCGAGGTTCTCAGCTGACCTTTCTGACCCCTTGACCACCGCTCCACTGTTACCATCATTAGTTTGCATTTCTTAGAATTTTAGATAAATTGCATTAGACAATAGGAACTCTTTTCGGGGGAAGTGATCCTGATATTTGATTATTGAAAGTTTTGTTTTTCTCTTTACATTTATTTATTCATTGTGTGGGCTTATGTCCGGGTGTGCATTTGTAGGTCAGAGGACAACTTGTGGAAATTGGCTCTCCCCACCACACAGGTTCCAGGGATTAAACTCAGGTTGTCAGGCTTGGTAGCAAGAGCCTTTATCGCCGAGCCATCTCCCCAGCCCTGTCTCACGCTTTTTTTTAAAAAACAAACAAACATTTATTTGGGGTGCATGTGTAGTTTTCCCAGTATGTGAAGATCAGAGCTTCTATCCTTGCACAGGTTGTCCTGGGGATTGAACTCCAGTTGTCAGGGTGGTCAGCAGGTGCCTTTACCCACCGAGCCATACTTTTTATGTGCAACGTACATATTCCTTTTTTCCAGGACAGGACCTCACTATGTAACTCTGACTGTTCTGGAACTCATGCTGTAGACCAGGCTGTCCTCGAACTTTCAGAGATCTGCCTGCCTCTGTGACCCAAGTGCTGGCATTAAAGGCCTGCACCACCACCGCCTAGCATAACATACCTGTTCTGAGATCCATCCACATTGTGTCTGAGAGTTCAGTGACTTGTTACTATGGAGTGTGCAGCATTCCATTGTAGGGCTGCTTACTTATTTACCCTTTTGGACCGACCTCTGGCTGTTTCTAGAGCTCCTCACTCACATGTGATGTCGGGAATGCTCCTGCAAAGGTGTCAGCATGGTTTCATCTCTCTTCAGTAGCCATCTAGAAGTTGAATGGCTGTGTTTGACTTTTACAGACACTTGCAGCCTGTGTGCAAGAGTGCGTCCCTCCACTGTTTACTTTCCGGCCACACTCTGAGAGTTACATGCAGCTTGTCCACATTTCGCCAAACTTAGTACAGTCAGTCCTTGTAATCTGAGCCTTTTTTTGTGGAATGCCATGTGTCAATTCAGTTCTGACTTTTCTCTCTTTCTCTCTTTCTTTCTTTCTTTCTTTCTTTCTTTCTTTCTTTCTTTCTTTCTTTCTTTCTTTCTTTCTCTCTCTCTCTCTCTCTCTCTCTCTCTCTCTCTCTCTCTCTCTCTTTCTCTTTCTCTCTCTTCTTTCTTTGAGACATGGTTTCTCTGTGTAATAGCTCTTTGGCTGTTCTGGAACTCCCTTTGTAGACCAGGCTGTCCTTGATGTCCTTGAACTCACAGAGAGCCAGCTGCTTCTGCCTCCCAAGTGCTGGGATTAAAGGCGTGTGCCACCACTGCACAGCTTTTTTTTTTTTTTAAGATTTATTTTTATTTTGTACGTATGGGTGTTTTACAGGCATGTATACCACACCCCTGCCTCATTCCTGCAGAGGCCAATAATTCACTATTGTGCAGAGTGTGGGTACCTGCTAGCTCTCTGCCGGGGCTGTTCAGTTGCCTCAGCACTTCTGCTAGGGAGCCTGTCTCCACGGTAGAGGCTGCTCCATTGTTGAAGAACACTTGACCTTCATGTGGGTTTGTTTCTTGACTCTCTTCTCTTCCGCAGATGTTTCCCTGTCTTCATGCCAGTTCCGAATGGCCTTGGTTCTTTTTGTAAAGGAAGATTTTCTGTTTAATTGTGTGCTTCCGTGGGGAAGCCAGAAAACAGCTTTGTGGAGTCACTTCTCTCATTTCCACCTTCATGAGCATTCTAGGGACTGACTCAGGTTGTCCGGCCAGTGCATTTACGCCTGAGCCGTCTTGCTGGCCTGAGGATCTGAGAAGACACCGAGTTTTGATGAGGATTCAGGGAAGGTCTTTTTGAGGAAGTCACTGTAGGAACTAACACTTGAGTGACAATCACCATGCTGACTTTTTTTTTTTTTACTTAATTATCATAATAAACTTTTTTTTTTCTTTTTAGAGACAGGGTCTCACTATGTCACACTGGGTAGTCTAGAACTTGCTATGTAGAGCAGGCTGATGTTGAGCTCACAGAGACTCACCTGCCTCTGCCTCTTGAATGCTGGGATTGAAAGTGTGTGCAACAACCCCCAGTCCTAAAATAGTTCCTTTTGATTAGTGTCTACAGGCTTTAGACTTTTATGGACATTCAGTAACAGCATGTTGGCATATTCAGTAGGTTGGCTTCTCAGCTTCGAGGGTGGGGAAACTAAGGCATGGGATAACTAAATGACTGGTCCTGGGGAACCAGCTGAGAGAGTAATGAACTTAGGTGTTAACATTTCATATGTGCTCTACCTTGTCCTCACTCAGCTGACAAAACTGTCTGTCTTTTCTGGCCTTCTTCCTTCAGTCTGCTTTTGCTCCTCCAAAAGATGCATGTGATGACTTGGGCTGAGGGTGGAATGTTGAGCTGTCCTCAGACTGGAGGGCTCTGGTTTGTCATGGCAGTCAAGTACATTTTGTCCCAGGTGCTCCCTGGCAGCCACATTGGTTTATCTCCTGGGGGAGTAAGTAAGCTCGTGCTGCTGAAAACCAGCAGTTCCCGTGCCTCTGCAGTGGAATCTCACTGCCTTTATTCATGTTGTGGCCCTACAGAAAGCCAGGGTTTGGGCTTCCCATTCTTGCTCGCGCTCAATGTGCACACTGTTGGGGGGGACGCACATGATCTTGGAATGGCAGTGCCAAGTCATGTTTGTCATTGTCCCTAGCAGGCCCCGGTGGACGTAGTCAGGCAGCTACAGAGCAACGGGACACTGAACGAATTGCTTTTTGCTTTAGAAAACATCTGCAATTGGCATTTTCAGGGGAAGGGCGAACACTGCTCTTGGTGGGTGCCAGGGGAGTTTTGGATTGTACCAGTGCTTGAGACCCCTCAAACGGGTTCAAATGCTCTAAAGTGCAGCCTGATTCATTGTCATGGCTTTGAGATTGTATTGTGCATTTAGCAAAGGTGCTGTGGTACCTGGCGGAGCTGGCGTGGGAAAGGGTCTGGATTGTGCATCTTTGCAAGGAGCATTGAGTTCGTGGAGGATCCTGACTTCT